TTGGTCTTTTCTTCCTCTTCTGTCTTTGTAATGACCGTTTGCACTCTTCCTGGATGATACCTTTGACATCCTCCCACAACTCATCTGGTCTTCGCTCATGGGCCCATGCCCAGAGCTGGCTAATAATAATATAAATGACATCAGTTGCAATTGTTGTTACTATGAGTCACCAGGTAAAATATTACATTAAAACTTTCCAGTCCCTTGTAAAAAGGTTATGTTAATCCCCATCTAAATGAGCTAAAGCAAGTAAAACTGCCTCATGAAGAAACAGAATCTTCAATGAGGTTAAGTAATTCACCCAAGGTCACAGTGCCTGGCAATAGCCCTGGAATTTGTATCCAGGTGTGATTCTGAAACCTAGGCTTAAAGCCAATTTGTATCACTCCTACCAGAAAAGCAACCTTCTGGTTAGCCGGCCCTGACATCAGACACAATTTAGCAAAAGGAGAAAGGAACTCTAAAATCCAGCAACATGGGCCACACCCAGAAAACAAACCACCCAGCCAACGGAAAACCCCTCCCCAGACTCACTGGCCCAGAGTAAACGGATCCAGGGCCACCCTATTTACTGCTTATAGAACTGTTCTCTGGTGTTACATTGGCTGTAATCCTCGTGGAAAAAGCGTGCCAGATTTTTCTTCCACTGTGCAGCTAGGTGATTTTGAACGGTCAACCTTTAAATTAGCAGGCTGGGTATACTCTTTGACCCATGGCCATGAGGTTGGGAGGTGCTGCTGTCCAAGTGAAGGAGGAGTCCCTCAGAGCAATTTGAGGAATGAGGAGTACGTGGCAGCAGAAGTGAAGAGTCCCATAGGAGCATGATAGGAAGGCCTGCTTACTTTTCATATCATGAAAATGGTATCACTTGAATCAATGATTCCCCAAGTCCCAGCCTAACAACAACAAAGTCCTAGCCAACCTGAACATTTTCAAATATTGTAACGATTAGTTACCATGAGAAGAAACAACCTGATTGATAAATATCCAAATAAACAGAGCATCAGAGCCTAGCCCTTTAAGTATGTAAAAGGAACAATGCATCAAGCAGCATGATGAACTAACTGGGAACCAACTGGTTCCAGGTCCATCTTAGAATATTCTGGCTCTTCTACTTAGCAATTCTGCTACCTTCCTTTGTTTTCTTAACCACTTGACCCTTAAATGGGACACAGTTTTTGTGCAGATCAAATGGGACAAGAAAAGTAAAACACCTTAAGAAGTGCATGCATGGTTTACAAGAGGGATTACAAAATAATAATAATAATGTTAGTAAAAGTGCCCATTCCCTTAGTTTCCCTTCATTTTTTCCACTATAAATTTGACCCTGGGAGCAAGCAACTTCTTATTTAAAGACACTGAAGCTAAACTACACTACTGCTACCAGAAAACAGTAAAACAAACTCAAGATCTCCCTGTTGTGAGGTAAGGCTAGTGGTATACCACCCAAAAGTTCCAACCAACTGTTTTCTCTGGTCTCACATTGAGACAAAACTTCATACACCTCTGGCCACATAAGGGATCAGCTTCACTTTTCATCGAGGCCAGAAATTTAGGAAGTACAGTGGAGCATAACCAATCCTTCCAGGGAGAAAAGTTCTATAAAAGTCTTTGTTTCAAAAGACCAGCAACAAGGGAGCTCTGGTGGTCTAGTGGCAAGAAGCTGCACTGAAATCCCAAGCGTGCATGGTTCAAATCTACTAGATGCTCCCCTGGAGAAAGAGGGGCAATCTCCTCCTGGGCCAGCATGATACAATTTGATGGTACACAGCAAGGAAACAAACAAAAACAACAAAGCAGTAGTGTCTGAAATGGAGCATTCTTTGTCTTCACCTTCACCTCGCATCTCCCAAGAAGGTAAAGAAAGAGGAAAGTAGAAGGAATAATATTCACACACTAAGGTTTTAAAAACAAGCTGCCACCAGGGCTGTTGCTCCGGTAGGGAAACAGATTTTGTGGGTGACTGTGCATCCTACCTTCGCACCACCAGCCTGAGGGTCTTGTAGGATCCTTTCACCAGGGATACGGCCTCCCTTCTAGAGCTGCTCAGCGCGAACTCATTGATGTGTACGACCTCGTCGCCAGCCCGCAGTTTGGAGCTCCCCAAGTCAGCTTTGCCCCCTTCTTCAATCTGCTTGGAGGAAATGAGAGAGCAGTGAATGTGTTTCCTCCAGGCTCCATGAGTGCCTGGAGCCCCAAGCACCAGGAAAGACCACACCCACACCCACACCCAACCATATAATTAGCAGAAAGAAGGAAGGACTGACTCTTGCTTTCCACATCCTGGGGTAAACACTGCTCCACCAAACACTGTCTGTTCGAATACACCAGCTGCTCCACAGGAGAAAGTTGGCCAGTTTCCTCCCATGTGATTTACAGCCTCCAAAAACCTGCTGAAGGATCAGCAGTTATGAGCCAATGAGTTTTTAATTGATTTTTTTAGAACCCACAGCCCTAGTGGTCAGGGAGGGCACTCACAACAAATAGTTAAATGAATGGAAGATCTCAGTTTCCATCCAAAGGCAACAACTAACCCTTGAGATTCTGTTCTACTCTCAAATTCCATTCAAAACAATTGCTTAATTCCTTTAGAAGATGAGTTCTTCTTGCATTCATTTTTTGGATTAGAACTCTTTCAACAACATTATTCAACACCTATTTTGTGCCAGAATTTATTCTGGTGCTTAGACTACATCAGTGACGAAAACAGACAACAGACAAAAAGCCTTCTATGGCTCTCACACAGGCCGGTGGAGGAGGCAAAGGAGGTAATAACTGACTAAATGATGCAGTATGTTCGGTGATTATGTGCTGTGGGAGCAAGAAAGCAAAATAACGCTTAATGCAGAGAATCACACCAATGGACATTTATGGAATGTTAATGAAAATAGAGGAAAAAAGGTAAATAAAACCTCTCTTTTTCAACAACCAAGGAGCTGTCCATACGGAACACAACTTTCAAGAGCTTGTTCTTAGAATGAAGGTGTTTTTTTTTGTTGTGTGTGTGTGTGTGTGTGTACGTGTGTGTACCTTCAGATAAGATCCTACTGGCACAGGTAGAGCTTGCCCCACCTTCTCCAGCAGAGCATCTGGTGGATGCAAACCATGTACCTTCAGGACTGCAGTGCCACTTCTTGCCACTAGGTCACCAGAACTCCCTATAAATTTTTAAATTTGACCTGTGCTTTTAATTTTTATTATCAAACAAATGCTAAATAAAAAAAATATTTGCTTAAGGACAGATACACAGGCCAATAGAACTAAAAGTCTACAAATAAATTTGTACACCTGTAGTCAGGTGATGTTCTAAACACGGGTACCAGAATCGTGAAATAGGGAGAGACCAGTTTCTTCAAGAAGCAGCACTTTCCTCATGGATATAAATATTCAATGTGGCTGGGTGTGTGATAATGACTACGTGAAAATAACCTTGTTGTTGTTGTTATGTGCTGTCAAGTCGTTTGCGACTCATAGCGACCCCATGTACAACAACAGCCCTAAACCCTGCTCTATCCTGTGCCAATATCATTGCCCCTGACACACCCATCCCGAGTACCCCAGTCACTGAATCAATCCACCTCATAGAGGGTCCTCCCCTCCTGCACTGTCCCTCTACTCTACCCAGCATGATGTCCCTCTCTAAAGACCTGTCTCTCCTTACAACATGTCCAAAGTATGTCAGACAAAGCCCCAGAATCCTTGCCTCCAAGGAGCAGCCTCGTTTAATCCTCTCTACGATGAATCTGTTTGTTTTCTTGGCAGTCCATGGTACATTCAATACTCTTTTCCAGTACCACAGCTCAAAGGCGTCAATTCTCCTTCTGTCCTCTCTAGTCATTATCCAACTCTCTGATGCATAACAAGTGATTGCAAAAACCATGGCCTGTATCAGGCGGACCTTAGTCTCCAGAGAGACACTGTTGCTCTTGAGTATTTTGGAGAGGTCCCTAACCACAGACTTTCCCATCCATAAGTTTTTTTTATTTCCTGGCTACTGGTGCCAAGAGTGTTGACCGTGGAGCCGAGCAAACTGAAGCTGTGAACAATCTCAATCTCTTCGCCATCCATCCTGATGCTACTGATTGGTCGGTGAGAATTTTTGTCTTCTTGACACTGAGCCTCAGTCCATATTGAAGACTGAAGTCCTTGACCCTCTGCAGTAAGTGCATGAGGTCCTCCTCAGTTTCAGCGAGCAAGGTTGTGTCATCTGCATAACGCAGATTGTTGATAGATCTTCCACCAATCCTAACGCCACACCTCTCCTCATAGAGCCCTGCCTCTCGGATAATCTGCTCTGCATACAGGTCGAAAAGGTATGGAGACAGGACACATCCCTGACGTACACCCTTCCCAATTTTGAACCATGCAGTGTTGCCCTGCTCTGTTCTGACGACTGCCTCTTGGTCCAAGTATAGGTTTCGCATTAGCACGATTAAATGTTCTGGGATTCCCATTCTTCTCAGAGTCAGCCACAGTTTGTTATGATCCACGCAGTCAAATGCCTTTGCATAATCAATGAAACACAGATAGACATTCTTCTGGTATTCTCTGCTTTCAGCTAAGATCCATCTAACATCAGCTACAGTATCCCTAGTACCACGACCCCTTCTAAACCCAGCCTGGACTTCTGGCAGTTCTCTGCTGATGTACTGTTCCAGTCGTTTTTGGATAATCTTCAGTAGAATCTTCTTTGCATGTGAAATCAATGATATTGTTCTGTAGTTTCCACACTCAGTCGGGTCGCCCTTCTTTGGGATGGGAACAAATACAGACCTCTTCCAGTCAGTTGGCCAAGTGGTTGTTCTCCAGATTTCTTGGCACAACTTGGTGAGCACATCCAAGGCAGCATCTGTTAGCTGAAATATGTCAATTGGTATACCATCTATTCCGGGGGCCTTATTTTTTGCTATTTCCTTTAAAGCAGCTTGAACTTCTGCCTTCATCACCATGGACTGCTAAGAAAATAACCTAGACACCTGTTTATCATGGGACATAGACAAATTATGATATATTCATTTAAAAAAAGAAGAATCAGGTTAGGACAATTCAATATTCACATGAAAAAGAATGGTAATGATCCTATCCTACCTCTATCCACACCAAATAGATAATTACCACAAAATTAAATTGATTACCTAAATATAAGAATTAGGACTATGAATTCTTAGAATAAATCACAGCGTTAAACCTTCATGCATGGATTTGACAAGGAATCCACGGATATGATATCTTGAGAATAAACAACAAAAGAAAAAGATAAATTGTACTTTCTCAAAGCTAAAAATCTATATATATTAAAGGAGTTATCAAGAAAGTGGAAAGAGAACTCATAGAACAGGAGTAAATATTTATAAGTAATATATCTGGAGACTAAGGTGCGTCTGATACAGGCCAT